AGCAACTCTAATGTGCTTTCCACACCCCACCCACAGCCGCGGGGAGCGCTCGAAGTTCCCGAGACCCACAGCCGTCCCCCGAATCCTTACCAGGAAACTGTTTTTGCAGTGGCCGCAGATGACGCGCACGCCAACGGGCTGGGGCTCGGGGCTCAAAGGGCCCGGATGCACGGGGCCCAAGTTAATAATCCTTTTGCTGCGAGAAGGAGAGAAGGGAAGATGAAAGGGCCCTCCCGGCCCGCTTCGGAAGGACGTCAGTACAACCCCCTCTCCCCAACCCAAAATCAAGATCTCTGCCTGCCTGTCCCCGGTACGGTCTCAGCCCACAGAGTCCCTTCCCACTCAAAGTCCCCAGCATTTCCGATCCGGACCTGTTGATTGCCTTGTCTCAGCCAGAGAGCCCTTATCCCTCCCTGCACCCACCCCCAAATCGTCTTCCCTTTTTGAAACGAGCATCTCGTGCTCTGCCTTTCCCCCCTGCTTCCATGAGGCCACACCCAACTGCTTTGCTGGCCTGCCTAGCAACAGTCCCTTGGGGCTTGGTGGAAGGGCTTCTTCCTTCCCAAATCACAGGCAACCTCCGTTTGCATCACTCAACGAACCAGGTGCCTTGTCCTCAGGGGTGCCACCCCCTCAAAGAACACTAACAGGTTAGTGAGACAAGATCTTCCCCTATAGAACCCATGCTGAGTCTGCCTCAATAGGTTTTGTTCATCTATGTGCCTACTAATTCTTTCCTTAATAACGGTTTCCACCAATTTACCCAGTATCGACGTCAGACTGACTGGCCTGTAATTTCTCTTCAAGGCTGCAGAACGGAAGGCCGTGCACCTGACGTCCGTTCCAGTGTGAACTTCTGGGTGTAATCCCAGTACAGCCACGAGAAGACCCACCCCGCTTCCCTTTCTTAGAACCTCCCTCCCCCAGTTCCCTTACCAGTATGTCCGAGGACAGGCAATGCGCTGCGATGTCACTTTGCAGATCAGGAGGCAGTTACAGGGGCATCGCACGTATTTCTTCCCAGCTGGGGCATTCTTGATTGGCTGGAGCAGGGAAAAGGAGAAAAGTTACACCCCTGGAAGAAGCCAAGGGTTTAAAAGTACACATCCCTGCCTCAGGCAGACGCAGCGACGGATGACAAGGCAGAGCAGATAAAGCAATCCTCACACAACGGATTGGAATATGATGACTGAAACAGGTTCTTGGGCCACTGGGATGTCACGGAATATTCACAAGCGCTCCAAGTACACAGGATGAATGGCCATCTTTGGAAACAGTACCACTCCTGTGTAGAGAGGTAAAATTTACGGAAATTTTGAAGCTCGGAAAAAAACCTAGTTATTTTTTTTTGGGGGGGGGGAACGGAAATTTTCGGAAAAATTGAAAAAAAATGCTACATTAGCATTTCTATTGTCTTTTCTAAATTGAAAGTCATTCTGTTACTTTAGGAACATAAAATATGACTATGGCCATTTTTACTTGGCATGTAATTATCACAACTAGCATATTAAAAATATAGTGTATCCAAACAATTATTACAAACAGAATACCCACCCACATGCAAAAACAAAACTGAAACCTTTTAATTTTCTTCTGACAATAGCACCTCCTAAAGGAAGAAATGCATTTTGTTCTTGCATTGGGGAGTTCAGTTTGTAACCTAGGACTTGCTTGTCCTCAATGCAATCTGGTACCATATATATATATTTTAGAAATGATTTGGAAAATATTTGAACACCTTGTCTTAAAATATTTTATTTATCATGTTAAAATAAAACGTTCCATAATCAATTTTTTTCTTTTCTTTTCTTTTTTCAATTTTTCCAATTTTTCGGGAAAAAACAAAAAAGGCTTCAGGAAAAAAACCGGGGGGAAAACAACGTTTTTTCCCGAATTTTTCCGGGCCTTCACATCTCTACTCCTGTGTGGAAATTTTAAAACTCAGCTTGTCTAGGAAGGGTCTTTCAAGACATGCTGCTTGTCAGGTGGGGTTGGGGAAGAAGAGAGAATCTCTATTTGCGTTGGACTCCACTCAAATTCGCCGCTTAGAATCCACTCCCACACGGTGCCCGCTTGCAAGAGCCATTTAAAGGGGATGCTTGGAAGCTGGGGGGGGGGAGTGAGAGGGATCGCTGAAATGGCTTCCATCTATTTCAGTTCAGCCTGTTAGACTGAAATAGATGCGAGCCATTTTAGCAATCCCTCTCGCTCCGCGCCCCCCCCCCAAAATCCCAAAAAGGGGGCTATGGGAGGGTTGTGGATAGGAATGGGCACGAACTGGGCCAAATTCGTGACAAATTTAAGGTTGTGCCCATCCCTACTAGAGATGATGCACACTCAGTGCCCCAGCGGCAGGCTATGAAGGATAAGCAACAAGGCCCAGAATCGCTAGGCAATTTGTCTGCTACACTAGAAAGGACATCTTAACAGAGTGATCGAAGCCAGTCAGACATTTTGGTTACAAGCCCCCTAAACTGCACAGGTGAACTGCCCAATGGTCACTTTTATACAGCCACCTGGGAGCTGGGAATGCCAGAGTCATGCAGTGGTTAGTGCAAGACTACTCCAGGAGACCCAGGTTCAAATCACCACTCTTCCATGGAAGCTCACTGGGCCAGTCACACACTCTCAGCCAAACCTACCCCAACACGGTTGTGAGAATCAACTGGGGAAGGGGGGGGAAGTTGTCAGCTGCTTTGGGCCCTTACTGGGGAGAAAAGTGGGGTATCAATGAAACAAACAAATAAGCTGAGCCCCAGAGATCTCTGCATGGCCTTTGGAAAGCCACCAATTCCAAAACCAAACCAGCCCCCTCCGAGCTGTTGGAAAAATAAACTGAGATGAGAACTATGAAGCGTTTTGTACTTTCCTGTGCTAAAGCGACAACAAACAAAACCTACAACAAACAAAACCTACAACACAACATTCAGATGGACTTCAAAGAAAGAAAGAAATCAACACGGAAGGAACTTGGATTCAATCGACAGTAAGTTCTGATCCTCTTGGATGGCCTGACATTGCCATATTGTAATCCAGGGCCCGAGTTTATCAGATGATGGACGATTTGTCCTTAATGGCACACGTTTCTTCTACCACCACCAAGACCTTGTGAGGGTTTTACAGTCCAGGCCGGGCTCATGGAACTGAACGCTGAAAATTTATTTGCTGCACATGGACAGAGAGCTTCTCAGCAGAAAGGCTAGACTAGAAACCATGCCGGGGTTCTCCGTGCGGGGGGAGTGCGGTCCCCATCTGAAGTTAGAAACAGGAAGGTCCAGAATCAAGTTTGTCTGCTCTTTGGGAGAACAAGACCTTATTTAGCCCCCACAATATACAAACTGCCCCTATATAAGGGAGACACAATCTCTGCACAGACCGTTTACAGTCTGCTTTCGTGAGGAAGAAGAGGCCACGAGAGAGAAGAGACCAAAGACTGCCGGTAAGAAGCATAAAAAGGGCAAGGAGCGTCTGATGGCATTTCAGCAGAGGAATCTGCCTTTTAAAAAAGCAGGCCGCCGATCCATCTGGCTCCGTGCTTGCCTTCTCCTACAGACAGACTCTTTCCGGAGTCTCAGGCACAGCATGGTCCTCCCTGGCGCCTGCCAGGAGGCTTTCACTACCTGGGACTAACAGCATGCAAAGCCGGTGCTCTACCACTGAGTCACTGCCCCTCCCTTTAAAGGACTATAGTTCAGCAGAAGTTCAGAGCCGAACCGTGTCAGGCTGTTGTATCGCACGCTCAAGACTACTGGTGGCTGAGACAGTCTCTCGGCATCTACTGAGATTCTGGCACTGGAGAGGATGGGGACTGAACCTGGGACCTTCGGAATAGAGAGCAGGTGCTCTACCTCTCGGCCACGGCCTCTCCTCACTTTGACTCTCGTTACAACCGTGTGAAGTGGAGTAGGACAGAGAACTCCCCCAGATTACAGGTTGTCT